CTTAGTGAAATACATGCTATCTACGTAAACATGAACACACAGCCAAAGCAATATATTGTGAAGAAATACATGTAAGTGGCCCCGAAGCATCTTATTGAGCAGTATATAAGCTACCTGATGCATTTGAAACTGTTTTCTGTTAGTAACAGTCATAAATGATTAAGCAAAAATCGAATAGATTGGCGACTAATATACCTGTTCTGGCTGCCTTATAAAGTCGATTTTTTAATAGTTTCTTTTATTTTTAATAGGAGTCATTAATTTTCCTATTGTGATCGGCGTTTCATCTCTTTATTGTTTCGTGAAAGGTGCAATAGAAGTTAATTAGGTTAAATCTAAGAATAAAGTTGGCGTTTGAAAGTCAGTCCAATTGAAGTTGATTTCTGGATGTTGACTTCAGGCGTTTTATTTATTAGTTATAAATTATTGCTTCAAACGTTTCTAAAGTTCAAATTGTAGTGAATGAGCTCTTGTTTCCCAAATTGAAATCATGGCAGCGATTTTCAGAGCATTTGCCTTCGAAGATCCAAAAATGATGCAATTAAAAAATAATTTGTCTCTTTGGAGTTCACTTTGAATTAATTTCATTAAAATTGTCGTTGTGAAAATTTCCCAAGGTTTACAATTCTCATTATTATACTTTTGAATTTACTACTTTCTGATCAAATGGAAGCAGATATGCTATCATTTTTTAAAACACTCATTCCCTTTAAATAATTACTTTAGTTAAAGGAGGGAAACCAACTGGCACATTCAATTTATGTCTTATTATTGTGAGAGTAGTAGGCCAAGAGCTTGACCACTCCATTTTGTATCCAAGTTACTAAATCCTGTATAGGCACCATGGTAACCGGTTTGATTATTTTGTCACCACCCCATTCAAGCCTATTCAAGGCGACTTTTACTTTAGTCTCTATTTTAGATTTTAAATATATCACCAGTTCTTTCACTCTAATCACTTTATACAACCTATTAGAGGGACATTAACAATTGAATTTAAGTTTCCATTGATCTGTTAAAATAATGTCAAGGTCGATCAAAACCGTTCCTGTTATGAGGGCTTAATGAGGAAAAGAATTGCATTTACTGTTGCCTGTTCTCTCTGCCTGAGTGCATGCCTTAGATACCATAATTGTCAAGGTAACTGCTGGTGAATAGAAGAAAGTGGGGGGTGGCGTTGGGGGGCGGGGGGCGAGAGTGAGAGTGAGAGAGTCGCTTTCAGCCAGCCCTATTACTGCCAACAGTGCAACTTTTTGCAGGTTAATAAATTCATGCGTAGACTTCTGACCACCGCTTACCATACCGACCTATCTGACATCAACAAAACGTATGTGCAAACACAATGCAATTAGTCGAAGGAGTTGGTGTGTGCATATAATGACTCAGTGTAACGTTATTTCTTAAAAGCTGTTTACTCCGCTATCAGCTACATCGCCAAGGCATTGTGCTAATTTTATTTGCCGAACGAATCGTCAAATTAGTACATGAATCAATTTGTTGACAAAAACGGTGATTATTAAAGATAATAACAGTAGGTTTCACCTAGTAAGACATCCTGCAATTTGAACGAGTTAATATCCAACTCAAAATTTGTAGAGTAAAAGGAGTAAGTTCTTGAGCTATAGTGAAAGGGCGTTAACTTTCTTCTTATCCGAATCAATATGATTAATTAATTATATTGGTGTGAGAATAATTATTTGCTAGAGAAAATTACCAAAGGAGGTTAAAATGTGAATAGCGCACTCAATGGCAATACGCTTTAAGTAGTAAGATCTCCTCTCACTTGGGCACAAATATTCATGAACAGGTAATTGTCATATTCAAGTGAGAGGCTAATATGACCTTGACACAAAACTTCAATTGCTTTGATTCTATTGATTCATGCAGACTCTAGTGCTGTGCTTAGGTAGGTCAGTTGAAAAGAGGAGACTACTCACTTGTCATCTTACTGTCAATGGAAAAATCAGAGTATAGATGACTGTCATTGATTAGTCTGGTGTGAGTGCACCCATCTCGCGTGATATTCGTAAATGATGACGGCCGGTATGTTGAACATTATCACTAAGCCCCTGCTTGCTCTAGTAGTGCTATCAACCGCTTAGGTGCCTTGGGAAAAGGGCACCCTCTAAAAATTAGGTCGCTTGTGCTTTTTTTCTTCATGTGAGCATTGTACTCGCTTGTGTCTATACTCTGACCAATAAATCCACTTATTAATTAAGCCTAGCTTCAATGACTCCTTTAGAGAACAGTTGAATTGAGTATTTTTTGTAGATTTATGGTGACTTTGTAATGTATGTACAATTTATTTCGTTCTCAATTCACTGTCTTTCGTTGGATCTTTTGAAATTGGAAGTGCTTTATTTATCGTACTTACCTTTAGTTATTTGTCAACAGAACTTATTTTTATTTCTCTGTTCTATATCCAAAAGTAGCGTTGTTCCATATGTAGTGCTTTTTTTGTTCGATATCTCGTCAGTAATGACCTTCCAAACTACATGGGTGAATAAATTAACAGTCGTGTAGGCAGGATACCAGTTGTGTGTCTCGATTGGTTCTCCGATGCAAGTTATTTTTTGTGATTCGAGCACTCACTGCGACATTTGTGTATTGGGCGCCGCCTTTTCTTGCCTTTCCACACTTGGTTGTGAATAATAATAATAATAATAATAATATTCATTCATCATCATTCATAACAAATGGCAGGCGTTTTGATAGTTATCATTAGCCCTTTTAGAAGCGTTTTGATGGTTATCATTAGCCCTTTATTTGACTTCTGGTGGCTTCACAGAGGGGAGGAACATCAAAGTGAGAAAAATTCAAGAGGGGGAACTCACAGAGAGGGAGGAACATCAAAGTGAGAAGAATTCGGGAGGGGGGAAAAGAAGAGTGATTCACAGATGGAGGAACATCAAAGTGAGAAGAATTCAGGAGGAGGAATAGCAGGGCAAAAGAAACAGACACAAAGGCTCAGAAAGGGTAAGATGAGTAATGGTAGGGGCCAAATATGGCATACAGTGGGGCCATTGTAGGTTTAGGTCAGAAGTCAACTGCCGATTAATAGACTTTTTTGCCGTGTGAGTATACGTTGCCCAGGGTGCACCACGTGAAGGTAAGTTTATCGCACACCCCATAATAATAATAATAATAATAATAATATTATTATTATTATATAGCACAGCACAAAACATGAACAAATTTCAATCATGGGAAAGTAGTTTAAGGATAAAGTATGTAAATGGTTTCAATAAATTTTGAACGGAAAGGTCCAAAGGGAGGTGTCAATTAAGTTAGGACATCACGTGGATTGTAAAATTTTAATCGGGGAGCATTGGTTGCCTTTATTTATATAAATAGAAGTCTCTGCATCGGAATGCACCAATGTATCCCATTATCCTACCAGGTTCGAGGAGGGAATTATTTCCACTTTACTCAAGGCTCGCTATTCGGTTCTTTTGCTTACTTTTTAAAGCTAATAGAGTAGAGTAGAGGATACCGATTGCGATACAATTAGTGAGCTCCAATTTGTTTAAACCATGTTAAATTTTACGTAACCAACGGTCTATTGGCTGTTGAAGGGAACAATGCTCTTAAATGGTTTAATCCACAAGTCAATGAGTTTCAATTTCTTACTCATTTATTCCCATGACAATGCGCGAAATTTCAAACTTTGTTCAGTAGTTTGGCCAGTAGTAAGTGGAGCAATCCCACTATGAGATTGCTAAAACAAGCAAAAGTTGCCGGATTTTCTAACGTTTTACCCTTTTATTCAGTTATTTTATTTAAGTCCTCCCTTAATCAATTGTTGAACTATTCCAACGTTTCACGTGCTTAGAGTTTTTTCAGGATTAAAATTAATGACTTTTAACGTCATTGCACATGTATTCAAACGCGTACAACAATAAAGAATCTGGTAGGAATAGGGACGTGCTATCAAGGTACTAATGATTATAGTCTATTTGAATTCTGGGCTTCTTAACGCTTTCTCTTTTTAAGGGGAATATAAATCACTTTTTAATTTCTAAATTTTCTAAAGGTCAAATACGCTTTAAGCACACTAAAACTTTCCTTAAATAAAACTGCAATTTTAACAAAAATGATTCTGTCACCTTGAGTATTATTGCGCTACCGTGGTTCGATTATCTCAAGAGCTCATCTGACTGCATAAGCTTAGTTTTGAAAGCAAATAGTAGGATTGCACAATCAAGTATGAAGTTGGTCTTCTTTTGGTGTAGGCTTTAATTAAAGCCATCAACACGAATTGTAAATGAAAGGAGACTGATATCATTTAAGTAGTTATTTCATTTTACTATTGAAATCTGCCTCTTTATTTTTCTTCAACAACTACTTTTGATGTTTTCATCGTCAAGTGAGTAATTTTTGCTGCAACGTACTAAGCTATAGAAAGATAGCAATTTAGTTCTTAAATCTCGATCTATATAATCATACAACTTGATAGGCATGCTATTTTTTTGTTTAAATGTACTTTGTTTCATTACATTAACAAAATTTTACAGAATATATGGAAGAAAACTGACTAATAAAGAGAAAATTTGGTTTGAAATAAAACCGAGATATGTTTAACAGATAAATTTATTTTGTTTATCATTATTTGCTACATAATCATGGTTCATTGATATTTTATAATTCTTCAGAAGGAAATGACATAATCACAGTGATAGATCTCTATCACCATAAAATACTTCTCCAGCCGCAATAATTTAATCTATTATCAGTCCATTAGGAGTTTTAATTCAATTACACAATAATTCCTGCTCACAATTTACGTGATTGGCTATCGAATCGACCTTTGAGTTACCAATTAGATCTACCTAAAGTCTATAATATGTGCAAGTGAACTAAGGAGGCTTCTTCTTTTTTCATTTTATTCAAGCCAAGCTTTCTAAGTTCCTCCCCCTCAGTGGGTATTGAAAAACTTTAGATTTATAAAAAGAAATTTGCCATCCTTGTCATATGATTTTTTCTGTATTTCAGTTGACAGTATGTATCTATTCCATTCAACAGGTGAATACTTCATGGATGTTGCGAAACACGACGATGACGAGGGCTCTGAACTTTTTGGAATTCCCTCCCAATCACAGAATTGGAATGCTTGTCCAAACCAATCCTTGAATGCTCCTATAGCAGGCCATAATATTCCAATTTCATCCAGTTTTCCTGACTCTCGTTTTCTAAGACTCTCTGGTGACTTTCAAGAAACAGAAGATCTGCAAACGTCATTCGGTGACCTCAACACACCAGAAGGTGCCTCCCCTGAGCAATATTGCTTCAGTCGTCCGGTAGATAAGGTTGCCACTCCTTTAGACGACTTTGAAGAGGAAAATGGCTTTGATAGTGGTTTAGGTTCTCTCCAACTTACTCCCACAGAAATTGATTCAGAAGGGATTTGTGGCAGCAGTTCTCCACAGTCAGCTCTGTTTAGGCGAAATCTAGCTAAAAAACCCAAAATGGAATACGAAGGGCACAATTTTGCGTCTAGCTTCAACCCTCAAGTCTCGTCTCAACAGCATTTGCAACTTATGGTTGAATACAAGGCTCCCAAAATAGGTAGGGAGGGGGGCGTTTTCGATCATCATAGAGCCGATTCAAGAGCATCTTCTAATTCCGCTCAAGGTAAGCTCTCCGTTGACTTAATGACATTAAAATTTGCTTAATAAGTTATACTCATATTTCCACCTAAATAGATGATTTATACTGTTTGGATATCCGTTTATTTTTAACAAAATGCTATGGATGAAATAATAAATCGTTTGCGAGTTTAGTTTGTGATCACTTTCATTCTTTATATACCCAATTCTATTGTTTGTACAAAGTACCAACTTATACTTATTTTATTAATATATGAAGCTGAATTTGTTTGATCTATAAATTTAGATGCATCCTACATGAATGGTGTTCGACCGTTAACTCAAACTTATGGCCTGATAAGTAGAAATAGACCGAATTTACTCTATCATCAAGTTCCCTCAACGCCTGCTTTTGCAAAGCCTTCAATTTATCAAACATCCTCGTCGAATAGCACATTTCCTTCATCCTCTTCATCTTCTTACCTTCATGAGATGTCTCGATCTGCGCCTTCTCCTGTTTCTCATCGCAATCTCAGCAAACGCCTGACTCAACAGGAAGCAAGTGAATTTCTCTCTTGTTCTGAAGGAGGAAATTGGGACGAGAATTTTGATGATATTGACAGTTTCGGTATAGAGACAGACTTCGATGATACTGTCTTACCGTCATCTGTTGAACGGTCATCACCACAAGTGTCTCCTTCGCATGGTAGATATCGAAATTATCAGTCTTTCCCTCTCAGACGAGGCCAACATAGTCCTCTGTCTGGAACAAATCGCCAAAGATCTAGATCTACTGTATTGTCTACAGCTTCGATCGAAAGACCAAGGAAAGTAGGAGCACCTCGTAATGGCGGAAGAAAGCGCAATCTGCTTAACTTTATCCTTGAACTTCTGACAACTCGTCAGAACTGCGTCGAATGGGTTGATAAACCGAAACAGGTCTTTCAAATTGTAAATCCCGATCAACTAACTCGACTCTGGGGCGAGCACAAAAATAATATCAAAATGAGCTTCGATTCACTCTCAAGGAGTCTGAGGTAGGATATTGCACGTCTAATTAGAAAATGCATTCACATATTTTTTCAAAATACGATTGAAAAGCAATGTTTTTTTCGCGATTGTGTTATTATTATTGAACAATATTTAATTTGTTTCATGTAATGTCTTTGTCTAGTGCAAAAGTTTTTTATAAATGGCCTTCAAACTAGCTGGTCCGTGCTTGTGCTTATATACGTGTATTCATTTCAATGCAGGCTCTATTACAAGCCCGGAAAATTAGAGCGCATTCCAGGAACCAGACATCAGTATCGACTGATTCATAAGCCCCCAGAGCGTTCTGATCTCCTTTGTGAATCCCCATATGAATGCAATTCAGATCATAGAAAGTCCAACGCTTCCATGAGTTATTCCAACTCGTTTAAACAGCAGTCCAGTTTCCAGTAAACCTACCTCCGAACCCTCTTCTCGCCTTTGTATAGACCAACTCTTTCCATTTTCACTTAATTCTCCCTTACTACCCCCCCCCCCCTCCCACCCCACCCCACCCTCCAACCAACCAAACAATTCCCTTGTGATATTTCTATTTTATGAATATCAACAAAAGTTATTTTAATTAATACTTTACCTCAGTCAATGAGTGCATTCTAAGCAAAGATACCTTCTCCTTTTTATACCGTCTATCATTCCACTTTGTACATAACATTAATCGCATTATATATGCAAATATACCAGCCTGCCTTCCTGTAATAATTAAGATATCATATTCCTTTCCTCAATACATTCGTTCCTTGTAATCAAGACAAAATTATTGCAGAATTACATTCATAGAAATTTAGTTCCCTTTTTCCTGGGTTCGGTTCAAAATTTTTTCTGATGCATTATACTTTGATCGCCTGTTTTTAGAATATCAACCTTAATTGTTAAGAAACAATTCCATGGGATTCACTAAGCATCAAATACTAGTTTATGAAAATGGTGAATGTTTGGACGCTAGTGATTAATTCAGTGTTTACTATAAAGTCGGATAAACTGAGATTCTTTAAATAATAAAAATTTAGAAAATTGCTATAGAGTTTAGAGTTTAAGCGCCCAGAAAAGTGTACAAGGAGATAGTTGTGGGTCACTAAAATCTCTCTCTCATTCATTAGCCTGTCATGGGGTTCGAACCAATTATGTTTCCAGTAAACTAGTTGCAAAAAGGCAGGATATCCCATATGTCATGGATCGTATCACCCATATTCTAGATAAAGAGTGAGCCATTCTCTGTTTATTTCTTTGAAAAAAGAATAAAATTATGGAGATAGGGGTATCGTCAATTGTTGGAAATTATATAATTTCGGCGCAGTTACAGACACAAATTCGATGGATTCAACAACATTGTGAGGGGGCGTTACTGACACAGACCCCACCCATATTGACAGTGCTTCAGAATAATATAAAGAAATAAATTACTTTCTGTTTTTATTTCATTCATCACTGTGAAGTGGGTGGAAAATTAGTGATTTCAGAAAACCAGTGCATCTCCATGGTGTGATAAGAGCTAGAAACACAGCTGTCTTTACGCTTTTATTCAAATAGTTAATGTATTTTGATGAATTTTCAATGTTACTTTATGCCCACGGTTTTGAGTAGTGTTGTAAGATTACATAGTTAAATAATGTTACCTTTTATTTGCTTAAGCCTGCATTGGACATAGTTGCGTCTTAAAGGTATCCTCTGTAACGATCACTTCATATCAAATGCAAATTGCTGAAATGTGGCATGAATTTTGAAAGAACTGGCCTAAAATCGGTAGCGGAAGACCATTCTTCGGAATAAAATAATTCCAAGGAAGAGACCGACGCATCCACCCCAGAAAGAATTAAATCATTCAGAAGGGCATAGTTTGGCAATCGTTTCGCACTTTTTAAAGTGATTTGAATATACTACAAGGGAAAATTAACACAGCAGTCTATAGGAATCAGATTTGTCCGCAGTATTTCATTTAATGGATATGAGTCAGTGTAACCTAGCAACCAGCTTTTATTCACTCTATGATGGGATTTATTAGCTCTTTTCCAAAACTGAACTCCTAGACCAAATCTTTCTCTCACAATTCCTCACATTTAGTTTTATTTTCACTTAGCTCCATAGTCTTTTAAAACAATTATTGGAGTTAATTAAGTACATTTATAAATAAGTATTTATCGAATTTTCATGTTCTGCGACTGAAACTTCGTGTCGCATTAAAAACCTCAAAAATTTGAAATTTGTTCATCTCAAGTTAGAAGTAGGAAGAGCGATTGAATGTGTTGATTTTGGTGAACAGGGGAATGGGTTGCGCTAGTCCATTGGGGAATATACGCAATTTATCCACTAGAAAGAACAGAGATGGCTGAAAGGAAAGTTTATCGTTCGTAGTGGCCACTACAAAGGTTACTCATAACACTTCCAAATAATACCGACGTTCAGCGTAATTGAGCTTTGCCAATTGTCATTTGAAAAGGGATAATTTTAAGTTGCCACAAATACCATGAAGATGCAAATGCATGTTGGAAAAATAATGTCGGGAGAAAGATTTAACTAAGTGACTCAAGAAAAGTCGAATAAATTTCTCAATAAACGTGGCATATTTCACTTAGACATTAGTTAACGAAACGTTAAAGTATTCATCTGTCAAAGTATACATCTTTACATAACTGAAAATTGTCTTATGACCCACAACAAGGCAGAAGCATTTTTTAATAATTTTCATTGACGATAAAAAAGCAAAATTCTTTAAGTAAAGTTTAACAAATTAATGGAAGATAGCAATTTTTCGTGTTGCAGACTTTTCAATTAATGGACAGCTTACTACGCCATGTTCCAACATAAACCTTTCACAATTCGCGATCTGGGTTGTTGATCGAGCTACCATCCACAAACTCAGGCTCTTCTTGCTCGATCTGGTCAATTAAGCTAACCTCCACCTTTAAGGATAGAACAGTATGGTCTCCACAGAAATCACCGGCCATTGCTTATGCAAGGTGAAATATACTGATAGAATTAGATTATAATAATATTAATAATAATAAAGCCTTAAAGAAGTTGTTCCTTTCTTCCACATATTTGTAAAATTATACATATCATTATTTGTTTAAACTTTGAACTGATTAGGGAAAGAGGTACTTTGGTGGATAAAATTAAATGGAATGCGGGAAATTCATCAGTTTTCCGTACGATCTGCCGATTGACGAATGCCCATTTCTTGAGGGTGATATGAAATGGCACAAATTTCTTTTCGGAATTTCATTAAGACGAAATGAGCCGCCCCATAAGGAACTTAGATAATGCCACGTTTCGCTTAGGAGGATTAAGTTAATTTAATTACAATGGAAAACCATCACTACTCGAAAATCCACCCACAGTGTCAAGCCTACACAAATTCCGGCTGCGTGTGACAGTTTGTAGAAACTCTCTCTCTTCCAATTCATTAATTTAAATCTGTTTACCTAGTGCCCCTATTTTTTCTTCAAATTACCTTTTGTTTAAGACATCCAATGTAGCATCATAGTAATGAAAGTAAAACACTTAAGCTCAAATTAGCATTCGGACTCAGAAATATCTCTCTGGGCTGGATAAATTGCCGCCAGCCTTGTCATTTAATTGCCCACCCCAAATGCTAAATAATTTGGGCTTCTAATATAATCCCGGGCTTTCATGTCTACGTTTCAATACAATCACCACTAAATGCACCCTCATTTATTCCGTAACCTGAAGGATTATTATAATATTCCCTCTATGTAACCCCCCCCCCCCAAACGACAAAATCATTCACCGTCCCTCTTTGAAGATTCTCTCATTGAAAATTAGCATCCCCTTCCTCGATTCCTCTCTGCTTTAAAGTGAACAACACTGGTAACGAGATGAGAATTGCCAATAAAATCTTTTATTGTGAAAAAGTATGTGACTTATCTATCTTCTTCCCACTCCCAACCCCCCCCCCTCCCCCCACATTTCCCTGATTACAAACCTTTACTTGCCAAAAAGCTCAATTTTCGTTCTGTTGTTTAAACACAAACTAATAAAAGTAGTTATTTCTACTGGCCTTATATACACCAGCTAAAGTGATTAAAGGGGCATGTGAAAGCCCTAACAACTAACTTGAACGCCATTAAATCAGGTGCAGTTGTGAATAACCTAATTGCTGTAGTTGTTTAAAAATGTTTTGAAGGTCATGTGCTGTCTCAACCAGGGGAAATAATGATGAAACAATGCCGGTCAGTAGGAACGCGACATTGTGGCCAAACATTTATAGCAATTCAGGCGACGAATAAAGAAGTTGCCTTTTGCAACGTGAACTAGCGAAATGAATTTCATTGATAGCTTAATGCTACTCGGGGTTTCTTTTCGATTCTCTTCGATTTCTCACTTATTGGATTTGATGCGATTCTAAAGACGTCTTTAAAAATTTTTCATTTGATTCACAGTGCAAACTTTAAGAGACTTTTAGATCAGCAAACAGTTATTTAAGGAAATAAAGAGGGCATATTCTTGAAAAACCGTCAACGTTGATTTTAACTTCGTTTTCTATTTTTGGGTCACGGAGTATGCGATAGACTTACCTCCACGTGGTGCACAACGGGTAACGCATACTTAAACAGCAAAAAGTCTATAAACCGGCAGTTGACTTCTGACTTCAAACCACCATGACCCCACTGTATGTCATATTCGACCACTTTCACAGTACTCATCTTACCTACCTTTTTGTCCGTCTGTCTCTTTTACATCTGTGAATCATTATTCTGCCCCCCCCCCCCTATCGACTTTTTGTCACTTTGATGTTCCTCCTCCTCCTCTCTGTGAAGCCCGATAACTATCAAAACACCTGCCACTTGAAAAAAAGTAATTTTTGGGTCACTGACTGAAGGGATCCGTAATTGAACTGCACAAATGATCCATGCTAGCGCGCCTTTAAGGTCGCATTGATATGAGATTTGTGGACAGTTCAGGGTATGAACTCTCCAACCAACAGTTCACTCATTTTTATTAGGCGAACTGTAATGTTCAACATTAGAAACGGCCACAGATCATTAAAGAGTCACTTTATAATACTCAGTTTTATAAAAAGCAAAATCCCAAATTATAGTTAATAGTTTTGAGGGGACCACAACATCAGACCACCTCTTGTGCGTTCGGGGGTGTATAAACAGCCATAATGACTTGAGATGGAAAATCGATAAATTAACCATTGGTATTATTGCAAAACGTGCAACAAAGAAACTGTTTTGAATGTTAGCAAAACTGTGCAATCACACCAAGAGAGGGACAAACTAATTTTTCATCACATCTGCTATCGAACGGAATTAAGCACTTGCACTTGTGCAGATGGGCATTCATCTTGAGGTCTCTGATGTTATGAGCATACATGCCTTCGAAACGCTCTCGAATTTCAAAAAATAACAGTTTTGCTACAGACGGAGAGT